CTGGGGCCGCGCGGGGCTCGGCGCCGCTCGCTGCGCGCCCGCCGGTGATGCCGGCCCCGGGCCCGCGCTGCCCCTCGCCCGGCCATGGTGCCCTGCGGGGCCGTGCTCTGGCGGCGGCTGCTCAGGAAGCGATGGGTCCTCGGCGTCGTCTTCGGGCTCTCGCTCGTTTACTTCATCAGCAGCACCTTCAAGCAGGTCAGTGCCGGCCGCGGCCCCGGGTGAAACATCCCTTACCCCACGGTGGCTCTCGTTCTTCAGGTGCTGTCACCGCACCCCTGGGTAACGCTGCCGTACGAATGGCGTTATAAACATTTAATGGAGTTTAAAATAGGAATGCCTGATTCTCTGTTTGACAGCTATAGCGGTTTGAACCGAAACTGGGAAAAGAAAGTCTCCACTGGGTTTGGTAGTTGCTGTTGTGTCTTTCGGGAGTGGTGATTCCACTGGCAAAGGGCTCATGAAAGAGAAATATTTTCAGCTGTGGTTATTTAATATAAAATATACTACTTTTGTGGTTGTAGTGACTGAGTTCAGCTGCGTTAGCTGATCCATGGTGAACTGGAATACCCTGACTTTACTGAAGTGTGTGTCTTCCTGTTGAAGTATGAAGTAAAATACTACAAGTAGTAAATTGTTTTCACCATTGATGCTGGAGTTTCCTGTGCTGGGGAGTTTACAAGTACTTGACATCTTTAATCCTGGGAGAGACACGTGGATTGAAGTGGCAGGAGGAACTGGTATGTTTGGTTGCATTCCTGTTTTTCCTTGCAGGAAGAGAGGATGGTGAGAGATCGGACTCTCCTCCAAGTGCAGGAGCATGAGCAGCCCATCCTGTGGAAGGTGAAGTTCAGCTCGGGGAACAGCAGTCAGCTGAGCAACCAGTGCAGGAACTCTGTGCAGGGCAAGCTCCTCATTACAGATGAACTGGGTACAGTTGATATTTATTCTGCATGTGGCAGTGCTGCTTTGCCTCTCTGATTGCTGATGGCACTTTGATGCAACAACTGCTCTTTATTAAGGCATTTTCACTTGGCCCTTGGCCTGTTCTCCTCTGGATGGCTGAATTTCACTGTGGCTGCAGATCCTGCTGCTTTGGTTCTGTGCACACCAGAAGCAGGGCCAGGGCTGTGTGGGTGTGACTGTGGCTACCTAAAAGTCAAAAACTTCCAGTTACCTTTGCACAGAACCCGGACATTGGGTCCTGCTCAGTTTGCTGTGGTTGCTTGCAGAGCTCTTTGTGTCTCCCTGCAGCATGCTCCTGCTGTCAGGGGGTTAGGGAGAGCATCTGAGGAAACCTTGGCCTTGTATGGAGGCAGCTCAGGGCTGGTGTAATTAGTGCTCAGTCACAGTTAACGAGCTTATCTGACCCTTGTAAACCCAAGGTTATTAACCACTTCTTTTAAGTGGTAGAAATTAAAGACCCTTTCCTGCCCTAGGCTGTGCTTGTTGCTTAGACCTGGATCTTTCTTGGCCACAAATCAAGGCTATAGAGAACCCACCATATCTTCTGTGATTTGCATCAATGTTAAATTTGGCACTGCCTTACGGTTAGTGCCAGTTCATAAGATCTCTAAAAATTACAGATCTTTCACAGTCTAACACTGTGGTAGTACCATTTCCATAAGGATGTACACCACATTTCTATACTGTTAAGGATTCCACCCAGCAATGAATATTACACTGACCTGCATGGTTAAATCTAAGTCTCTTCATACTGAACTGTAAGAGAATTATCCAGAGACAGACCCATTGCAAAAACGTGTGTCGTGGTTTTTTTTCCAATATAGTCAATGCCAATCCCATTCCCCCTTTCACAAGGAACTGTGCCCAAAAATACTCAGAAGTTAAATAATCTGCATTTAAATACTCATGGTGCATATAGAGCACATATTAGAGCAGGATATGATAGCTGTGCAGATAACACCAGGCTGTTTGAAACGCTGCTCTCCATTTCCAAGAAAGGCTGCACAGGACTGAGTGGGATCATAACCTACTAAATGACAAACAAACCTGTTCTTAAGGAACGTGATCCTCACTGCGATTTCCATAGAACATACAGAGGGGTGTGCCTTGCCACTTGTCACTCCTGTTGCTGTTTTCCAGGCTACATCTGTGAGAGGAAGGACCTGCTGGTGAACGGCTGCTGCGATGTGCACGTGCCCAGCACCAAGCTGTACAGCTGTGACAGCTGCCTGCCCAACGGCTGCTGCAGCGTCTACGAGTTCTGCGTGTCCTGCTGCCTGCAGCCCAGCAAGGTGATGGACTTCCTCCTGCTTTCCAGGTGTTCTCAGCTGCTGGGGCCCCTCTGTGGCTAAAAGTGCTTCTTTGTGAGGAGCTTTTCCCTTAGAGGGACAGTTCCTTTTCTTGGAATGATGAGGAAAGCCTCCAAGGAGCATATGGCAAGCTATAAAGAAAGCTTTAACAAGACTAATCCTTCCCACCTTTGGGAGGAAATACTGGGAGCCTTGAAAAGTGTTTCAGCTTCAGTGGAGTTGCATTCGCTGAAGGGTTGCAGAAGAGTTACTGCAGTCACTATTAGTTTTGTAATTGGCATTTCCCCATATTCTGTGAGCTTCTCTTCGATTCTTGTCCTGCTGCTGGGGTTCTGAGGCATTAGCCTTTCAGTGCTTCCTAGAAATCCTAAGTGGAGTTGCTTACTATTCCTCTGATACCTGAGTTCTGTAGGTTGGGGTGGGCTTTGATTACTCCTTGCTGAAGCAGAGTGTTTCTGATTTTTGCCTTCTCTTTGCTGACCACTTCAGCAACATCTCCTGGAGCGGTTCTTGAACCGGGCAGCGATTGCATTCCAGAACCTCTTCATGGCAGTGGAAGATCACTTCGAGCTGTGTCTGGCCAAGTGTAGGACTTCATCACAGGTGAGGCACCAGCACATGGCCAGGGCCCAAAAACTGCCCTTGGGAAAGGGGGCTCAATGCTGTGAATGGCTGGTGCGTCGTGTTTGTATTTTCACAAAAGCTCAAGCTATGGCTGAGAGCCAGTCTGAAGGCAAAGCACGCATTTAGAGCAGGATGAGTTGCACATTCTCTGTAGAAAAGAGGGGCTTAACTAAAAAGAGACTGAGTTCAGTGACCAGTGGAGATCTGAGATGAGTTCTGGGGAAGATCTCATTAGGATGAAGACAGTGAGAGCTGTTCAAGCTGTTCAGTAGCCTCAGAATGCTCTTTATTTTTGGTACTGGAGACTCACCATGTGCTGACAATCACCTGCATGGTAACTCGAAAACTGTGTTGTAATTTCTCTGCTTGTTAAGGACAGAGGTGAACTTCTGTTACCCATGTGATTTTGTTAGAAGTCTTGCTCTAAGCAAGCAGTGGCTCTTTTAGAAAGTGCTTTTGGCCATGTCCTGCAGCTTCAGTATTTCAGGTAGCAATGGGGATGGACTGCAGACAAAGGATAGAGTTCCAAATGTCTCCAAAGTTACTGGGTTTTTTTCCCCATAAAATTTGAACTCTGCCTTTTGTCCAGAAAAATGCACACATCTCAAGTTGCAACTTTATTGTGCTCTGCATGCTTAGAACATTTGATGATGATACTGCCTGAACAGATCTATTTTTTTTTTTTAATGAAATCTTTTCCTACTTACTTGGGTACTCTCTTGAAAAGGAGGTTCTGGTTCAACACTGCAGTGCTGTAATGCATCAGCTGGCTCTTGTGTGCTGGCAATGCAGAGTTCTTTGATCCAAAGACACTCTGATGTGTAGAAGAATTTGGGATTTTTTTTTTTTTGCCTGTGCATAAACACTGTGGGTTTTGTCCCTCAGTGAAGGGATGCCTTGTTTCACTGTGTGTATCTTGTTAAAGCTTCTCCTCCTTTCCTGGCAGAGCGTGCAGCATGAGAACACCTACAGAGACCCAATTGCCAAATACTGCTATGGGGAGTACCCCCCAGAGCTCCTGCCTGTTTGAGAGTGCACATCTGAGCAGCAGGAGGAAGGAACTGGAGCCTTGAATCCAAAAGGACAAGACAGCAGCTGTTGCTTTACCAAAGCCTCAGTGTAAAAAGCTTGCCTTGTATGTGGGGCAAACCCAGAGGTGAAGAGAGGAAGTAAGGAACTTCTGGGACTGGATCCTGCTTTCTTCAGCTTATTGTGCACCTGCTTTGGAGTGCTGGTACTGTGCTACTGTGCAGTGCATTAGTTGAATACTTCCTCTGAATTTCAGGAATCATGGAGTCAATCTAGGCTATAGAACATCATGGGAAAATATCTAAAGTGGCTTTGCAGCTGTAAATGGAGGTCCAGTTGTGTCTCTGCAGTCCAGAGACTTTCCAGAGTGACAGCAGTAACTGGAGGACTTTTCCTTTCAGAGGGCAAAGCATGCCTGCTGTGCTTCTCTCTCTGGAACCCTTCTTGACATGCATGGTGTACACTACATATGTAATTATGAATTATTTATTCATTTTATATGGGTCACTGGCTGAAAGTACAGATGCTTTGCATAGCTAGTTGTGGATGCCTTTCAGTCCCTGCTTTGCTGTGTCAGCTAGAAGGAATATTTTAGATCCTGACTAAAGTTGGTAGGGTTTTTTTTTCCCTCCTTAGTCTAAAGGAATTGTATTGGGATTTGTCACTATAGTACTTATGTTCCTCTTAGTGAGTTTAACCATTCAGAACTCCAATGGAGTTGTTCTGCCACAGTCCCACAGCACAAGAGAAGAGCAGGGATCTACCCAGGATGGGATGTTTATTGTCTCTAAATACTTTCCTTGTTACTCTGCAGCAGTTTCCTCAAAGAGGAGTCCAGTTCTGTGAGCAGCTCTCTGCTGTCCACTTGCTGACAGGGAGCAGGGAAGATTTGTTTGCTTGAACTTGTTCAGGCCTTGGTATTTCAAATTCACTCCTGGTTGTGCAGGAGCCCAGAGGGTGGAGCTGAGCTCTCCACAGCACCTTTCCCAGAGCTGCCTGTGCCTTTCCACGCTGCTCCCGAGCAGGAGGCAGGATGGCTCTGCCAGCTGTTCCAGCTCTCAGGCAGATCCTGAAGTGTTTTACATCTGCATCTCAGGCAGCAAACTGCAGCTTCCTTTTAGCTTGGAACTCCCTTGCACCAAATTCGAGCTGATCTTCCCCTTTGACAAACATATTAAACAGGACTCAGTTAAGAAGAACAAGAATTCATTATCCCATGCTTGCTTTACACAATTCAGTGCCCACCTCCTGCCACTGTACCTCAGCCAACGGGGAAAGGAAGACGGCAACCTGTGGCCGGGAGTTTAGGCTATAAGGAGGCCGCATCCTCCGAAATCTCCACAGAGACCCCACGGGGGTATGGCGTAGTGGACTCTCTCCCTTTATTCGAATAAAGTTGCAGGACGCCTCTGTCTCCTTCGTGGACTTTTCATAGCGGGGCTTTTCGCACGTGCTGAGCACAAGAGCAGGGCAAGAGCCCGCTCCAAAGGCCATGGGGCCCTGACGCGCACTGAGGTAATCCGGAAGTGACGCGCCTGGTTTTGTCTTTCCCCGAGCCAATGGTAGCGCCGGCCGCTCCTCACGTGACAAGCAGGGCCTGCCTTTGTGGCCTAAATGCCGCCGCCGTGCGCGCGCCGAGCTGAGCATGCTCAGTGCGGCCTTCCCGGCATTTTCCCCAATTCTGTGGGAAAACCTTTCATGTTCTCTGAGCAAACGTCCCCACAGAGTCCCCGCGGGGGCACGCGTGTCCCTGTCCCCTCAGGAGCTGTGCTGTGGGAGCAGGGGCTGCTCCAGGGGTGGGTGAGGGCTCCCCCCGGCCCAGGGACCCCTCCCGGCCCGCAGCCGCTCCTGCCCGCCCTCCTGGCCCGGGGACACCACACGAGCCGCGGGGTGAGGATCAGCCTTTATTACCTTTATCACCTTTATTTAAACTCTGCGGAAGCCCCAGCCGGGTCGAGGCTGCCTCATGCCAGGTGCTGGAAGAGCCCAGGACAGCCAGGCGGCGGCTGAGCCCTCATGCCCGCGCTGCAGCAGGCGGCCCTGGCCGCTCTGTGCCCGTGCCCGGCTCTCTGATGCCCCATGAGGGACACTTGGGGACAAAGAGGAGGTTGCTGCACTGCCCAGCACGAGGCAGCGCTGCCGGGCCTGCTCAAGCATGCAAAGATGGATTTTTCCCATCCCTCCCAGGGCTGCTGCTCTCCCTGCTGAGAGAGGGTGTCCAGGGAAAGCACAGAAAGCTTCAGGAGCCTCTCTAGAGCCACCTGAGGGCAGGGGACAGGGCGCAGTAGTAGGTGCCGTTGTCGTCCTGGCAGGCGGCTGCGATGGTGAGGATGCAGGCGTTGCTGGCGAGGTCTTTGGTGGCCGAGAAGCGCTCGGGAGTCTTGGCAGGCTTGTGCTTGTCTCGCTCGGAGTTGTAATAGAGCAGATACCTGAGGGAGTGCCCTGGGCGCTGCTGGTACCAGGAGATGCCGAAGTGGCTGATGTTGTACTGCGGGCTCAGGGTGCAGAAGAGCCGAGCGCTCTGCCCGGGCTGCACGAACACGGAGTGCGGCTGGCTCAGCACGGGCTGCGCCCTGCCAGCTGCACGCACCAGGGATGCAGTTAGTGATGGGCTGGGATGTGTCCCCCATCACCCTCAGCCCCCAAAATGAGGCAATGCCATTTCCCAACCACCACCCTGCTCATCCCATCACAAGCCCCGGAGTAAACGCCCTACTCAAACCAACCCCCCTGGAGAGCCCAGCCTGCCCTCCACCCTGCAGTGCCCCCAGGCAGAGCTGATTCTGCCACAGCACCCTTACCTGTGCCCAGCGTCCCCAGCAGGAGCAGGACTGTGAATCCCAGGGCCATGGCAGGAGGCAGAGGAAGGGAGGCTGTTTCAGAGCAGCTCTGGGGTGCTGCACAAAGCCCGGCTGCTGTGCCGTGGCCACTGGCGGGGTGTATGTAAATGACACGGGGGGCTCAGGGACTCAGCTCCCCGGGGCTGCTCGCTCTGCTGCAGCTGGGCTTCAGGAGGGGGTGACAGCCACTCACCCTCACCTCAGCCCTTTTCCTTCAGCTGCACCAGCACACCCACAGCTCACCCCACCACCCCGTGCCCTGGGGTGGCATCGCTGACCATCTCTCTTGGCTGCTGGGAGGAGCAGAGAGGTTTCCCTGCAGTCTCACACTCAGGCCCTCTGCTGCCAGGCATGCAGGAGGCCAGGAGCCTGAGCCACACCGTGCCAAGGATGCCCTGGGAGGCAGCAGGCTGGGGGCCGCCAGGGAGAACGGATGATGGGAGGCAGCTGTCCCATCACAGAAACAACAGAAGGAAAGCTGCTGCTCCCTTCCTGCAGCTCCATCACGGTGACAGGAATGACTGGGCAGGGTCTCAGCATAACTTGCAGCAGGGGCTGGGAGCTGCTGAGGGTGCTGCCTCTTGGCCAGGGCCACCTCAGGAGCAGCAGCTGTGGTGGGTGGCTGCTGAGGCCAGCGGGCAGCAGGTGTGTGTGTCCCCAGGGAGCGGGGCAGAGGTGGCTGCAGCACAGCTGGTGCGGAAGGACAGCAGACCGTTACAGCCAACGGCCACCAGCTCAGCCAGCGTGAAGCCACTCCTGCCTGTGACACCTGTCACGGGGCCACTGCGTCACACAGCCACCAGCCCAGGCTGTCCCCACGGTGAGGGCAGTGGGCACTTCTCATGTGCCAGAGCCGCTGGGCACCTCCTGCCCTCCACAGGCAGGCTCAGCCCCTGCCAGTGCCACCTCATCACCACCCAGGGACAGCCACTCCCTCCCTCTGCAGCACCCACAGAGCCCCAGGGCCTCAAGGCCCCAGGGTTTGTCCCTGCAGATGTCAGCAGTTTGTGTTTCATGAGCTCTGGCAGGTACGAGCACCCTGCAGGTACAGCTCCACTGCTGCCCACCAGCACTCCCCACATTCTGCCAAGTGGTGGCAAGATGAACACAAGTCTCCTGCACATGTCCCAGGGGAGGAGTGTCACACACACACCTTGTCCCAAGCGCTGAGCAGGTCAAGTCCAGGGATTAGACTGACTGTGAAATGAAACCTGGCAAGACAGAGGGAAATCACCTCCTCATGCAAAGAGGGGCATTCCAGAGAAAGGGAATTTATCCTCAGAGCAGTGACATTATCCCCACTGGATAATGCAGCACATCAGTGTTGTTACTGGTTCCCACCATTCCAGCCTCCCCATCTGCTGAGCAGCCCAGGGACATGATTTCATTCATGTTTTCCTCAGGAAAAGGGGATGATGCTACAGGGCCCTGACTGCAGGAACACTTGCACAGCAACATTTGGGCACCAAACAGAAGATGCAGCCAGCACATGACCATGTCCACCACGGGGCTGCAAAACCCCACTGCCTCCTGCTCCAGAGTAGGAGCAGCACAGGCAGGGTCCTCAGGGGGATTTTTCCAGTGGCATCCAGCCATGTCACAGAGGAAGCCAGGCTGGCCTTGCAGCAGTGCTGGGCTCAGTTAGGAGCAGGGTGAACAGATGTGGCACCACCACAGCCCAGATGAGCTGCAGGACAAATGGCGGAGGGGGGGGGGGGGCCGGAAAAAACCGAGGGGCAGGAAATAGCACGAGACTACAAAAAGTCGTAAATTCAGAGCATCTGGGACCACATGGAGCAGGCAGCCTTCCCAAGAGGCTGTTGTTTAGCTCAGCCCTTGCTCTGCCTCCCTTCTCCCCCCGCAGGAGGCTCGAGAATCTGCAGGGGCCGTTCGCTGTTGCTGGGCAATCTGGCTACTGAAACCACAACAGCGTCAGTGGGGATGGAGCCCGTGTGCCCGGGGCTCTCCAGCAGCTCCCAGCGCTGCCTGCAGGACGGGACCCGGCCCCACAGCCCTGCCAGGGGCACGGCAGCACCATGTTCGCCACCGTGAGATTCGGAGGTAGGTGGGGGTAGCCGGACACCTGGGCCACCCTCGTCACCTGCACAAGGGGCAGGGAGGGACACAGCACCTGGTGAACAGCAATGCCCGGTGCTGAGGGAACAGGCAGGAGAGCTCTGCCAGGCACAGCAGCATCCTGCACCTTCACTGCTTTTAAAAAAGGGAGATCTGTTACCCTACACTCCAAATCATGGAGGGAAACCACTCCAGCAGAGCTGAGTTAAGCACAGGGAGGGAGGCTGGAGGTGAGGATGAGTTTCCAGCCTGGCAGCTCTGGGAAACCACCGGAGGGGGCCCTGCTTATCTAGACACAACCAGAAGAGCCATGGGGCACAAGTGCCAGCTGCTAGCAGAGCTCCTCTGTTCTGGGCTGTGTGGGAAGGGCTCCCTGACTGAAATCCTGGCTCTCAGTTTCAGAGAGCAGGCATTTGTGGGAAGGCATGAGCAGCCCCTATCCTGACCTTACCCAGTTGGCTGAAAGCCTTGGCCTTACCCCAGACACTCATGGCTGAAGCCATCAGACACACACAGTCCTAAGCCTTTGCTCCCTCTGCTATTTGAATTGGATCCCCAGCTCTGACTACTGACGTGTGTCAGCCCTGGGGGATTTCTCAATTGTGCCAAACTCAGTCAGAGTTCATGGCCAAAATATCCCCGGGTGACTCAGCCACAATCTCCAGCTCTTGCCCCTTGTGACTGGGACCAGCTCTTAGGAGGGCACTGGCAAGGACCAGGGCCCACTGCTTTTTCATACTCATGCTTGATGAAACAAATTGAAGGATAGAGACACTATATCAATCAGAACCATTTTCCCCAAATGAAAGTGCTCATCTTCTCCCCTGGACCCTGGGGCACCTCTCAGCACCCGCTACCAGCAGCCATGGCTGAAATGCAGCTGCTCAAGGCCCTGCTGATGCCACAGGGGGTCCTGCCTTTGCTGGCCACAGCGGGCACCTCTGAGCCACCTGCTGTGCCTCCTGCCATGCCCATGTGGTCCCTGGGTTTGGGGTGACCATGCTCCTGTCTCAGATCTCATTCCCTGTTTGCAGCCAACTGCCAAGAGATGGTGAACCTGCTCTGCTCTGTCCAGACCCTCACAGGCCACCTGAAGTGGAAGTGTCAGTGCAGGCCTGAAGGTACGAGTGCTCTGGGCTGTGGTCACCAAGGGACTGCCACTCACCCATAGAAGAACAGCACAGGGTTACAAATGGGTCACATGGGAATCACAGAACATCCCAAAGCACAGGGAAAGGGACAGCAAACCTCTCACTCCCCAGATGTCAGCAGATTCTGTTCTAAGTGTAACTTGCCAAGGAAAACGCCTCTAAACCCCTCAGGCTCATGTTGGCCCCACAGGGACAGTCTGGCCTTCCTTCACCACATCTCTCTCTGCAGACTGCATCGATCTTGTGGATGAAAAAGGCACCCTGATGAACCTGAGCAAAGTGGAAGATCCTGCATCTGACTATGCCAGTAAATACCTGCAGGGAAGGCAGCGCTACATCCTCATCAGAGCTGCCCGTGAGTTCCCTGTGCACAGCCCCAGGGCAGGAAGGGTCTGCTCTGGGGGCAGCTCTGGGGAGGGCTCTGCTCAGCAGCCACTTGGACACAGCACAGAAGCTCTGAGGAGGCAGAAGCCAACTCAGATGAACAGCTAGAGCTGAGCCTTTGTTTGTCCAAGGGAGAAAGAACTTCTCCTGGGCAGAACCACCTGCCCCAGTTACAAGCCTTCAGTTTACAGCCAGGAGAGAGACTAATCCATTTCTCCCATTCTGTTGCCAGGACAAGAAAACTCTGAAGCCATCTGCTATGAATCCTTGCTTGAGGACCTGGGGAAACACTACCCTGACCTCCCAGGTAAGAGCCAGGCACCCACCTCACCTCCACAGAGGAGTCAGGGGTGCAGGCATGACTCCTGTTCCACCTCAGCCCTCATACAGTCCTGTGGGACTCTCCTCTGATCCCCCTGTGCTCCTTCAGGGCTCTTGGGGGCAATGAGTGCATTCAGGCACCAAGGGAGGGGACAAGCAGGGCTGCTGTGCAGGACCCCTCCCAGTTAAGAGTGACACCCCACACCAGGCAGAGCCCTGCCCAGCTTGTCCCCCTGGCAAAGAGGGACATCTCCTTGGAACAAATGGGGGGAAGGACATCAGGAAAAATTGGGAGACCCTCAAGTGTCTCTCCCAGGCTGTAGTCTCACAGGTTGGCAGTGCCTTGCCCAACATATAATGGGCAACTGACCAACACAGCAGGAACACACAACTCTGGAGGGGCTTGGTCACTCCACAGATCGGCTGCAGCAGCTCTCAGGAAAGACTCAGAGGACCGAGCAGAGGAAGAAGGGCTCCTTGCAGAGGGCTCAGCCTCACACCAGCACCCGAGGCAGGAACAGGACCACCTCACAGAGCAAGAGGAGCTTGGAACACAAGAACATCCCTAAGTGAGGAACAGACCCATTGCTGGTCACCAGGCAGCACAGCCTCCACCAGGCCCCAAACACCTGCCCAGGTTCTCATTCCAGCACAGCAAGAGTGCCCTGCTACTGAGCCCCTCTCCCTGGGATCCCCTGCCCCCCCAGAGCTTCACTAGCACATCCCAGGCTGCACCCTGACAATCCCAGCATCACAGCCAGGCACAGGCACCATCCTCCTGCTTCAGGGGTCTTGTGTTCCCTGGCATGGCCTGCACCTGCACTCCTGTCACTGGCTGGGCCTGCTTCCCACCGCAGCTCTGGGGTGGCCCTGCAGGGACTGCCCACTGCAATCACCAGGAAAAGCTGCTCCAGAGACAGCCAGGCCACAGAGCTGCAGAAGCAGCACTGCCAAGATGGGTGAAAGGCAGAACACACCTGCTGCTGCTTCTCCACCCAGAGCAACACACCAACAGCCTAATACACTTATTTCTCAAAGGGAGTTGAACAGCTTTGGAGTGGTTCCTCCCTGCTCACACAGGTCAGCTCAGCACACAGAGCACTTTGGCTTTTAATCTCTGGCATCTAATTTTTCCCTTGGCTGTCTAAGGAGAACACAAGACACCCCTGATAAGGCCAGGCACAGCTCAGGACATCTCTACCAAGAACTTAAGACTCTGACATTTAGAAGGGGCAGGATTTTCAACACCAGCCTCCAGTATCTGCTAACAGCATTTACCATCTAGACTTGGATTTCCTCACAAATCCCAGCAAGGGGCTGAGAACTCGTCCTTTATTCAACAATCAGAGATCAAAAGGTTAAAAGATTCATTCTGCCAC